TACTACTACTAACGTTAGGTTAACGTTACGTCGTACGTAAGTACGGACGGTCGTAAACGTAAGTACGTCGCTTCGTTTCGGTTGTGTGTGTGTGTGGTGGGGGGGGGGGTTAATATGTGGACGATCCCACTAATTCGTTGATAAAGAGAAGACCAAGAGTTGTGGCGATGGGTGTTGTTGATTAGCTGACTTCCCTTTGGTATATTACATCAAAATTAGGGTAGGCTAGGGTAGAGAAGACTGGAGTAGCTTTTCGCGAAATTCAAAACAAACCAAACATATAAGTTTGTTAGAGGACCGGTTTGGGGGTCTTCCACTATTCATCAGTGAAAAATTAGAACAGGCATTTTGTAGCGGGATATGTATACACAGGGAGGGGGACGATTTGGGGCACCGTGACAATTGATTTCAAATCTATACCAATGACCTTTCGTGATATGTATACACAGGGAGGGGGACGATTTGTGGCACAGTGACCATTGATTTCAAATCTATACCAATGACCTTTCGTGATATGTATACACAGGGAGGGGGACGATTCGGGGCACCGTGACCATTGATTTCAAATCTGTACCATTGACCTTCCGTGAGATGTATACACGGGGGGGGGGGGCGATTCGGGGCACCGTGACCATTGATTTCAAATCTGTACTAATGATCTTCCGTGATACAGGCAAGACTCTATTCTCAATTAAAAGGGGTTGAAACTGAGGGACCATGCTAGCTGTATCCTAAACTAAAGTACATGTTTGAAAATAGGCCTCATTGTTGTTTTACTAATTAAGTATTTAACATCATTTAGCGAAAATACTGTTTGAAAGTAAACACTGTTTTTTTGTTTTGTTTTCTTGTTTCCAAAATCAGGCGTTCCGGTATTGTTTTTTCGTTATGTGAACATGAACATACTTGATTATTACACGAAATAGATCGATTGATAGATTGTTTCAGATATTTAGCAGCATCGGGACTTGAACACTGAACCTCTGGATTCATAGTGCGGTATGCTAATCGTTAGGCCTCGCCCCGACCATGAAATTGAAATTTTCAATCCGAAGAACACCTTAATCTTATATGGGCAAACCTTCAGATGTTGTCGTTCATAGTTATTGATTCTGAACTACTGGCCAGGAGGAAAGACATCAACCAGCACCATCCGCCACCACAAAGGCTTTATACGATGGGCTATCTGCACTCTGACAACGACGTGTAATCGTATTCCGAATTATACCGTAAAGTTACCGCTAAGTCACCGGAGAAATTTACAGATTTTTTTTTTTTAGCTAAATTTCATTCACTCACTGGATAGCACAACATGTTGTTAATGGGTAGTATAGAACAACTTGCTGTTAATGGGTAGTAATTTCAACTATAAATAATCTAGCACAGGAGACAAAAAAAATAAAAATACTAATACAAAGTGCATTCTCTCTAAAAAAAAAAGTTTGTTTGTTTGTTAATAAGCATAAAAAAAAACACAATAGGTAAGTTTAAAACTCGTACAGCCAATATTTAATGATCGGCCAATGTTGCACAAATACAGCCAATATATAATGAACGGTCACATTCCTTCGTTGACCTTCTTTGACTCCGGATAAAACAACTTAAACGTTGGTTAAAATACATAACGTAAATACAATAAACTGACCGAAAATAAATAACTGGCGACTTCCACGTACCACTACCCTCATATAGGGGAAAAAGAGGATTGTAAAGGATACCTCATATAGGGGGATTATGAGGATTATAAAGGATACCTCATATAGGGGGATTATGAGGATTATAAAGGATACCTCATATAGGGGGATTATGAGGATTATAAAGGATACCTCATATAGGGAGGATTATGAGGATTATAAAGGATACCTTATATATAGAATTGCTTTACCTTTAAAATGAATTGACCTAGGAGAAATAAGTGTCGCCAGAAGTATATTATGAGCCTAAAGTTTTATTTGAGAACGTTTGGACATAATTTGAACAGCCTGAAATGTAATAAACACGCTATTAGAAATTTTAACAGGTTTTGAGCTAGCATACGAAGAATTAACTCGCGGTAACAGTAGAACAACTATTTTTAATAGCTTTTAACTTGGTTCTTTCCCAGGTATACCTGAAGAGTGATATTTACGTTATACGAAACCGGTTGTTTAATAGCTTTTAACTTGGTTCTTCCCTAGGTATACTTGAGGAGTAATATTTACGTTATACGAAACCGGTTGTTTAATAGCTTTTAACTTGGTTCTTTCCCAGGTATACCTGAAGAGTGACGTTGATTCAAACACCTGAATAAAGTTCAATTCAAAAGAGGTATTTTTGTTTCCGTAATGGTGGACATAGAAACAAAATATATATTATGATAACTTGATAACTAAATAGCGGCTTCGTTGGTTTTAATATACTTTAAACAATCATTTATATATATTGTAAATTAACTACAAGGACTCGTAAATACTGACTTCTCTGCGTGCCCTAAAAGTTTCACATTTTGCTTTTGCTAATTTATCTCTTGCTGTTCATCTTTACATTTTTTTCAAGTTTTGTGTTCTTAATTTTTTTTTCCATTTCGATTTTTACCCTTCCATTTGAGTCGTTTCTTTCTTCGTCTGTGACTTTACGATTTTCGTTTATTTTGTTCCACTTTACTGACGCTCCAGCGACCTCTACTTTTATTTTCTCTCGACTACCTTTCTTCCCATTTTCTTAACTTTATTCTCGAACTCCGACCTCGACGAATTCACGTGTCTGCGTAGAACGTTCAGGTCGTGTACCTGTATACGCATTCTAAAATTGTACACAACTTAAAACAAACAAAAAAAAATGAAATATTTCACTAAAAATATATATAAATAAACCCTTATCTCTCTCTCTCTCTCTCTGTGGGCGAGTCAGGGGAAAGTTTACAGACTTTCCACCCTAAATTCCGGGGTTCGATTCCCTGCGGTAGACAAAACTTAATAGCGCAGATAGTCCAGTATGTGGTTTTGCGATAAGACAAACAAGCTTAACCAGAGGACATATATAATATGTATATTTTTGAGATGCCTTACTGAACAATTTTGCCCTTAAGCCTAATATACTAACGACACTAGCAAAATGCTTCGTACCACAGGCTATAGAAAAACAAAACCGACCCCCGACCCCCTCCCCCCCCAAAAAAAACAGCTATATGCAACTACAATCTGTTTTCACCAGAGGGAATAGTATAGGTTCACGGTGTCTCCAGGCTCTACAAAGAATACTATTTCTATATTTTTTGGCATTACTTGACGAAGTATCTCGACATTATCAGCTTTTCGTTGCAAACCTTACCAACTTTATGGGCTTGCAACTAACTCGTTGAAGTGGAAGAAAATGCTGGCTTTTTGAACCACACTTTTAAAGCCATTGTTAAATAGAATTGATCCTGGCAAACATGAAATATTAAAGCAGAAGAACCGATGGTAAGTGATATAAGAAGAAAAAATAAATAAATGTTCCCCACTCATCCTGTCAAAGGCGCGAAATAACCACGTTTCTTTCCAGGCACTTTCCTCGCACGTGACCAAACTGGAAAGTGGATTTCTTTTTACACTGCTATGAATTATTGTGAATGCTACATTTATCTGGCAAAAACAACGACAAGTATCTAACGTAACTAACAAAAATATCAAGTGTAACAACAACAACAATAACAAAAAATTAACGTAAATATAAAGTGTAACAATAACAAAAAATTAACGTAAATATCAAGTATAACAACAACAAAAACAAAAACAGGTATTTAATATAAACATCAAGTGTAACAACAACAATAACAAAAACAGGTATTTAACGTAAATGTCAAGTGTAACAACAACAATAACAAAAACAGGTATTTAACGTAAATATCAAGTGTAACAACAACAATAACAAAAACAGGTATTTAACGTAAATATCAAGTGTAACAACAACAATAACAAAAACATGTATTTAATGTAAACATCAAGTGTAACAACAACAATAACAAAAACAGGTATTTAACGCAAACATCAATTGTAAAACAACAATAACATAAAACACGTGTTTAACGTAGACAACAACAATAACATAAAACAGGTATTTAACGTAAATATCAAGTGATGGCCAGATGATTTGGGTGCTCGACTTGCAATCTGAGGGTCGCGGGTTCGAATCCCCCAACACACCAAACATACTCATCCTTTCAGCCGTGGGGGCGTTATAATGTAACAGTCAATCCCACTATTCGTTTGTAAAAGAGTAGCCCAAGAGTTGGCGGTGGGTGGTGATGACTAGCCTCCTTCCCTCTAGTCTTATACTGCTAAATTAGGGACGGCTGGTGCAGATAGCCCTCGTGTAGCTTTGCGCGAAATTCAAACAAACAAACAAATATCAAGAATAACAACAACAATAATAAAACACTGGTAAATAAATAGCAAAATATCAAATATAACAAAAAAAATAGTAAGAACCAGGTATATAACGTGACTAGCAAACAACAACAGCAACAATAGCAAAACAATAACTTTATAATGTAATTACCAGACCGTAAGTTTATTGTTGAGACAAAATTGCAAAATACCTCAAAAGATGGCGCGACAGTATAAGAGTAAAGGTAGATTAATGTTATTAAAAAATCATCCACTTCCTTTCCTGTTCACATTTTCATTTAAAACCACACGTAACACTGCTAATGGAATTAAGTGATAAACTCTAATTTTCATATCCTTTTAGTGCGAATTCCGACCGGTAGGTTAATTTTAGTGTTAAATTGATGAGGTTGGCGTTTTATTTCAAAGGCACTTCAAGCGAAAGTTAATGAGAACCAGATAAAATACTGCCGAGATTGTTATCTGAGAAGTTTACGAATCTCGAGTTTAATTTGGAAATATATGGATAATGTATATTCAAAAGAAGACTACACGGTGATCGATATCCACTCTTGGTTTTCTCTTTCAAGTCCATTTAGAAAATGACCTTTTAACTCAAGTATCTAAGCCACTGTATTTGATCTCGTTACCGAGACTCTTGCCGCTGTACATTAAAGTAATCAGATCAAAACTAGTCAGAGGGATCAAACACGGTCCAGAAAGACTAGGTGGAAAGTTTTTGGATAAAGGAAGTTCGTATAACGACACTTAACGAACAAGGCCCCTGACGGTAAAGTATCAATTAAAGTGAAACAGAGTATATTAAGAGCGCCCTCTAAAAGTAGTGAATATTGTTAGATAAAAAACATATTTATTCAAACTTATAAAAAAATAAAATAAATATAAATCCGATGAGTTATAATTGCAATAAATAATAAATAATTAAATACAAGGTTTAAATATGTTTATTTATTTAGTGTAACGATTTATTGCTTTTAATTCAATTACTTTTTAAGTTGAGAAATGCGCGCTAGCTAATCGGAACTACACAAACCACTACAGATGAAATAATCATATTAACAATTATATCAGTTCTTTTCCTTTTTCGTCATAAATATTTCTTGTTAGAAATTTTCTTGCATATATATATATATATATGTATGTGTGTTTTTGAGATAAATATCGAAGATATTACAACTTAAACGTGTTTTCTTTTTTGTTTTAACTTAAAGCAGCTTTCTTATTCAATATACTTTGGAAAATTGTTTGTTTGTTTTTTTTTTTCTTAATTTCGCGCAAAGCTACACGAGGGCTATCTGCTCTAACCGTCCCTACTTTAGCAGGGTAAGACTAGAGGGGAGGC